TTAGGGGCCAGGTGGAGAAGGCATGGAATTTGGCATGGTTCCCAGTCTGGCATGATCCACAATTTGGCCCATGATGTGGCCCTTGTTTTGGCACAGCTCAGAATCTGGTGCAGATCGAGGACTGGCCTGAGCCAGGATTAAAACTAAAAAGAGGGTCAATTTAGATTCCATATAAGGAAGAAATTCCTCCCTGTCAGGGTGGGGAGGCCCTGGCCCAGGTTGCCCAGAGAAGCTGTGGCTGCCCCATCCCTGGAAGTGTCCAAGGCCAGGTTGGACGGGGCTTGGAGCAACCTGGGACAGTGGAAGGTGTCCCTGCCCATGGCAGGGGGTGGGACTGGATGAGCTTTCAGGTCCCTTCCAGCCCAAACCAGTCTGGGATTCCATGGTTTGTCTCACCATTTGGCATGGCCATGGGGCTGCCACGTCCCAAAACTTGGTGCAGGGCAGGAAAGCTCAGTGACACTTTGTGTCACTCCATTCAGTGCCATCTCAGGGCTGAAGCTGCCCCCTGCCACCGTGCCCACAGTGCCATCATGCCTGCCCCAGAGGGAAGGCACCCCCCAGCCCAACCATCCCCACTGTGGCTTCACCTCCCTGCACATCTCTGTGAGGGAGGAAGAGAAGAGGGAAATCCTCCTCTCAAACCACTTTTCTTCCTGGCTCATTTGCAGTCCTGCTGCTCCTCAGGAGGGATGAGTGTCTGGGGTGTTGGGAAAAATCTCACCCCATTCTATGGCTCAGATCTGACCTTCAGCCAGGCAGAGAGGGACCTGGGAGTTTGGACTGACAGGAAGCTAAACAGGAGCCAGAGTGTGCCCAGGGGGACAAGAAGGCCAATGGATCCTGGCCTGGCTCAGGAACAGTGTGGCCAACAGGGCCAAGGAAGTGATTCTGCCCCTGGACTCAGCGCTGGTGAGGCCACCCCTGGAGTGCTGTGTCCAGTTCTGGGCCCTCAGCTCAGGAAGGACATGGAGGGGCTGGAGCAGGGCCAGAGGAGAGCAACGAGGTTGGGGAAGGGACTGGAGCACAAGTGCTGTGAGGAGAGGCTGAGGGAGCTGGGGGGGCTCAGCCTGGAGAAGAGGAGGCTCAGGGGAGACCTCCTCACTCTCTGCAACTCCCTGACAGGAGGGGGGAGCCAGGGGGGGTTGGTCTCTTCTCCCAGGCAACCATCAGCAAGACAAGAGGGCTGGGTCTGCAGCTGTGCCAGGGGAGGGGGAGGTTGGAGATTAGGAAGAATTTCTCCCCAGAGAGGGTGCTCAGCCATTGGAATGGGCTGCCCAGGGAAGGGGTGGATTCTCCATCCCTGGAGATTTTTAAGAAGAGACTGGATGTGGCATCAGTGCCATGGGCTGGGAACCACAGGGGTAGTGGATCAAGGGTTGGACTTGATGATCTCAGAGGTCCCTTCCAACCCAGCTGATTCGATGATATGATTCTATAATTCAGCAGCTCTTGGCCCCCAGTCAGTGCCAGGAGACACTTGGGCCTGAGACCCACAGGCTCTAAAAACAGTGTCTGCAGAAAGCCCTCACACTGCCTGCAAGGAGGCCACTGATTCCTTTCCTGTTCCTTAATTTGGCTTGGCCCGTCCTTTTTGTTTGTGCAAGTGAAATAAAGTGGCTTTGAGAGCCTTTTAACTGAAGAGGCTGGAGCAGCTCAGGTGGGAGACACCCTCCAGGCCTGACGCCCACCCTGTGCCAGCCCAGATCCATTAGTTCTGCTGGAGCAGCTGCTCCATGGCATGAAATATTCACAGTCAGCTCAAGAGCTGAAGTCCTTTGCCATGTTCTGGTTGAGCTAAAAGACTTTTATTTCAATGAGTAGTGCCCAGCTCCTCTCCAGTCCAGGATGCTCTGTCCAGGCTGGTGGAGCATCTTTGGAGGCCCAGCGTTGCAACTCAGTGGCCTTGACCAACTGAGAATTCAGACTGAACCCAAAGGAGCTATTTTTAAATAACTGGATATTTTGTTATTAAAAAAAACCTTGGAGAAATACAGAAGGGGAAGGTATTTAATGTTAACTTTGTAGATAGGTGATTTTTGCTGGTTTTCCTTTGGCTCTTGTGCCTTCCCAGGGACCAGAAGATCTTCTCAGGAACCAAGAGATTTTCCCAGGGGTTAGGAGTTCCTCCTAGTATCCAGGAGGTTCTCCCAGGGACCAGAAGATTCCCCCAGGAACCAAGAGATTTTGCAGGAGATCCTCCCGATATCCAGGGGATTCCCCAGGAAACCCCCCCCAGGATCCAGAGAGTTCTCCCAGGGACCAGGAGCCCCGCCCAGCATCTTTTTTTTTGCTTTGCTCCTCCTTTCCCACATCACTCCAGGCAAAGCCCCAAACCTTCCCCTGTCTCCCTGGCTGGGGGAAGCTGCTCTGACCTCTCTCATCACAGTATTTTGGGATTCACCAGCAGCATCTGCTGTGGAAGCTCTCCTGTTCCGTGGGGCTGTGTCACTTTGTTCCCAGGCTGTTCATTTTTAGGCACGGTGCCACCATATCGGGGTCACCAATGTCTCTTGGTGTCCCCTCCTCTTGTCACCACCCGAAGGGGGGGGTGAGGGGGTGCTGGAGGTCTCAGAGCTCCATCCTCTGACGTTGGCAGTGTGTGGGAGGTCAGATGCTTCCCCTGGAGGTGGCTCACAGTCCTGGGAACTCACTCACAGCTTTCACAGCTCCTAAAATGACACAAGGCCCAGTTCTGTCAACCCCTTCAGCTGGGAAGCCGTGGCTGGGGTGGAGATGGGGCTCAGTGACTGGCCCTGTCCAACCTCGCTGGGCACCACGGGTGAGCCTTGGTCCAGCTGGGATGCTCCTTCTGGAATGGCTGCTGGCATCCAGTCCAGCCCTCACAGTCCCTCTGCCTTTGCAGGGGCTGGGATGGGGTCCCAGGAGTGACACCATGGGGAGATGTGACCATCTGGGGCTATGCAGGTGTGCAGGTGGTGGGACAGGGTCTGTCCTCTTTGGAGAGTTTCTCCCTTGGCATGTGCAGGTGCCCACCCTGGGAGTCCTGAGCAATGGGGCTGGGTATGAGTCTGGACTCCCAGTGACACTGGGACTGGGAATCTGCCTGCTCTTCTGGATGAGGCCAGTCCTGAGGATAACCCTGCCCTGTGGTTTTAATAAATCCCTCACAGCATCACATCCCAGAGCACCTCCCAGCCCACCACCAGCCGGATACAGGAGGGGGGAAAGGGTGGAAAAAAGCACATTTTTTCTATTTGTAGGTGGTCTGCAAACTCACAAACAGATGGTCTGAAGCCTTGAGGGCTTCCCTGGGAATAAAGACAGTGAAACAAAAAGAGATCATCTGTTTCCTGATGGGACCTGGATACCAAATCTCCTGTCCCTGGGACACTGGGGATCCTCCTTCTGGCGTGGCTGTTGGCGTCTGCTCCAGCCCTGGAGGTGGGATGGTGTCCCCAGCAGGACACAAAGTGCCTTTCCCAGCACCACACACGCGGATGGGGTAAGATTTCCACTTTGGGTGTCTATAAAATCCATTGAGATGGAAATGATTCAGAAGGCAATTATTATTTCATAATAATATTGATGCAAAGACGTCGGCTGGTTAAATCCTTGGGAAAGAGCCAAGTGGGTGCAGAACTCCAGTTTTCCAAAGGGCTGGGATATGTCTGGAGCAGTGAACGTGGCTGGAGGAGGTGAGTGCAGACACACAGACAATAACAGCTTCACAATTAGGAGAGTAAATGAGAACATCACTCAATCTAGAGAAATTCCCCTGATTTTCTGGAGTTTGGCTCTTTGTTCAGAGCTGGTGCTGTTCAGGGGACAAACTCCCCCTGCTATTGCAGAACCTTGGCAAGGTGACAGCAGGAAGAGAAAGTTGGAATTTCAGCTCTACTGGAATTGTTCCCTGCCCAGCCTCAGTTTCTGCATATTGCATAAAGATTAGCCTGGGGCAAGTCATTTTTTGGATTCAACCTACCCTGCTCTGGCAGATCCGCCTTCAGAAAAGGCTGAAATGTTGCAGATGACATTAAAAACCCTCACCCAGAGTAGCCTCCTTCCCAGCTGGATGCCTGCAGGAGGGAAACATGGAGTGCCAGGGCTGTCTGCAAAGGATCCACAGTTTTTCCATAGGGCTAGACATTAATTTTTGATATTGGGATCTGGCTGGGGCTTGTGGAAATACAATTTTTGTTTCAGGATGAAGAGTGATTGCATCCCCCAGTGCTGCACCCGCTCTCTGTCTGTGCCTCCTGCTGCTCTGGGACCTTTAGGGAGATAAAACAATGTCCCCACATCCCCACATCCCCCCGGATCACTGGGCACTACACCCAGCACGGATTTGCTCCAGCATTCAGGGGAGTCCACGCCCTCCATCCCACCTTAGGGTGTCTCTGCAGTGATCACTGTCTGAAATTGCTCCATACAAATTTGACCACTGTGTATGGGAAGAGAAATATCCCCCATTTCCCTGCTCCAGCTCTCATGTTGCTGGGTGTTCAGGAGCCTTGTGGGACTCCCTGATGCTTTTTGTGGGACCACGAGGGGATGGCAGAGGGGTCCAAGCAGATGCATCTCCATTGTGCCTAAAGGCAGGGGTTGATCCATAGGTTTTATTTGTTTGTAGGAGCTTGGCCACGTCCTTCCTTTGGGGTGGGAGAAGCCTCCCCGTGAAGGGACCTCAGTAAAGGCAAAGGGATACAAAATAATTGCTTTTCACGTTCCCCACCCCAGCCAAGGGCAAAGCAGAGAGTCCGGTCCTGCCCCCTCTCCTTCCCCAGAGCTGCAGGGAGCTGCTGCTTCTCCATCCCCCCGTCCTCCCCTAGCAGATCCAGGCTATTACCAAGGCTATGGTATGGATTGGAGCCGCATGGTAAAGCAGCATCATGTATCCAGGGATATGATTATTTCCCAGTGGTTGAAATCTAGGTCTCTTGCTTGGGAGGAGGGGTGCGGGGTGGGGGGGAAGTGGGCAGGGGGGGAGACGCTCGTATTAATCTTATGAATATTCACGGTGAAGCTTTGCTGGCTTCGGAGGTTGAGTCCGGGGTAGAGTTTGGGGGGCCGGGGGTGAGAGGTGCCGGCAGTGGCGCGGAGCAGCTGCTTGTGCATTCGCTGCATGCCTGACTGCAGAACCGACTGTAAGTTGGTGCCTTTTTCTCCCCCCCCCTCCATCCCCCCCCATCCCTGCATCCTTCCCCTCTTCCCGCTGCTCCCCTGCTTAAATAATCCTGGCCAGGAACGGTGCAAAAGGAGGGACTTTTGATTTAGACGCAAACACGACCCCGAATCTCACCCCTCCGAGACGCAGCCATGGCTCCTGCCTGCAGTGCGGGCAGGGAGAGAACTCCGGGGCTTCGGGCAAATCTTCGCCACCTCCATCCCCCCACCTCCTAAATTTGCATGAATTAACCCTAAAAATGCTTGCGGGGGGGCGGAGGTTATTTGCCAGGAAGGCAGGTGATGGGGAGAAAGTAGGAGAAACTGAGTGCTGGGATAGGTGATGTCAACTCAGACGATGTCGTAGCCCTCTCCATTGAGCATCACTGCTTGGAGTCAGGGAAAGAAGCCCAGAGCCTATGACAAATAAAATCAACCTGTTAAAATAAGAAAAAAAAGGAAATTTCTGTGCTGTTAAACAAATTCGAGGTGTTTTGGAAAGGGAGGAAGGGGAGGAGAGAATTTACGGACAGGAGAAAAACCTGCGTGTTTAGTAGAAAAATAAATAAAATCTTGAAGGTTGGTCGATTTTTTGGTGACATGGGCATTTGTGGCTGCCAGACCTTTCCTGCAGGAGCAGAAAGATGGTGTTTGTGGTGTTCTGGTATGATGCTTGGAGGAGCCAGGGAAGGTCAAATCCAGCTAAACTCCTGAGTGAGTCGCTGGGGAGCGAGTGGTGGGGAGGCAGATGCAGGAAAAGGAGAAAAACTGGGACAAATGTGACCTCCCCTCCTCTGGGCCTGGCAGAAAAGGGTTAAGAGAAACGGTTGAATGCTGCAAGCCTCGTCAGGGTTGTACTATTTTTTCTAGTGCATAAGGAGAAGGGAGAGGAGGGTTGCACGGAAAAGGGAAATTTCCAAGAAAAGAGGGATCTGCGGCAATATCTGCACCTCGGGGGATGAAGAGAGGAACCAACAGGCATAAATGGCCGGGAGACGGCTGAAATCTTCGCCGAGGAGATTGGCACCGCGGGGTTATTTTCCACCTGCCTCCCCTACCCATTTCTGTAATCCTGGCTCAAAGTAGACAAGTCGAGTTGGAGCTGAAGAAGGGAGGTTAGAGGGGTTTTTATTTCATTTGGGAGGGGAGAAACAAAACAAAAAAAAAAAAAAAAAAAAAAGGAAGCAAAAATGAGAGGTTGGTTGTGCCTCCCCGGGTTGAGCACCTCCGTGGCGCGAGGCAATGCAGGATGATGCAGAGGAGCAGTCGCCGGGAGCAGGGATGTGAGGATCCGGCACCCACCGGGGACACGAGCCTCAACATCCCCAGGAGAAATTTCACCCGGCGGAGTCGAATTCCCACGGGGGTGGGTCGGCCG